AATTCCTCCAAAGAAATACAATATAAAATTATCAATAGTTATTATCCTACAGCAGAAACTCTTAGGAAAAGATTTGGATTTGAGGTGGATGCTTGTGTGTTTTGTCTTGAAGAACCAGAAACTATTAAACATCTCTTCTATTCCTGTCGAGTCACAGGTTGCTTTTGGCAGAACCTGCATAATTGGTTAAATAACAAAATAAATAATATAACACCTTTTGAGAAAAATCAAACATTAACATACAAGAATGACATTCCAAAGGATTATCTGATATGGTCAATATTGTTATAAGTATGGGAAATTGTTATAAGTATTAGCAAAATGCTAAAGTAACGTGATGTAAGGAACTGTCTTGTAGTAGAATTAGGCTGTCTCTTTTAATGTCTTTTTTTTCCTAAGTTTTGTATGTTTCCTTTGGTTGTAATAAAACTGCCTGTTTATTTATTAATTTATCTCTGTTGCCTTGCAATATTTAAGTTTATAATATATGCTGTCTTCTTTTTTATGCAAGAAAGAAATGTGGTGATTCCTACTTGAAAATGTAAATAATGTTTTTTTAAATTCACAACCAAAACTCTTCCGGACTCCTTATGTACACGGACTTAGAAGGATCCAGTCTAGCTAGACCGCGTCCTTGGAAGATGCAGCCCATGAATTCGAACAGAGCCAACGTTGTGGTCGTTGAAGACAAATGAGTCTGCTTTTCCTGCCAATCTGCTGCGGCTCTGCTTCAGTCCAGCAGGGGGCGGTAAATGAACCAATCAGCTGCTTCGTCTCAGTGACATAAAGCGGAAGGAAAACAAAATAGTTCAACGGCTGGTTTGGATTCAGCTAGCAGTCGACCGTGTTTTCATATCTTTGCTCAACATTTCAGTAAAAATGTCTCCAGTTCAGCATCTGAGAGAGTTTATCAGAGAGCGACTAACTGCTGCTGCTGAAGAAATTTTCACAGAGGTAGAAAAAACCATTATCCGCTACGAGGAAGAAAACAGACTGATGGAAAACTACTGGAAACCTCAGAAAAAACTCCAGAGAATCGGTAGGACGCTTTTGATTTTGCTAGAGGTAAAAGAGGTAATGCTGTTTTTATTGTAGTAAAGATAATTATTGTGACCGTATCGTATATAGTCTCTAGTCTACGAAGGTATCTGCTGATTATGGGGTGCTGTTTGTGCCAAAAATATGCTCACGTCTATATATATATATATATATATATATATATATATATATATATATATATATATATATATATATGGGCTGAAATATCGAATTAATCGTGATTAATTGATTATTGAAATAATTGTCAACTAATTTAGTAATCATTA